ATAATTTCCAACCATGTAATGGCTTCTTCACTGCAGAATGAACTCCTTTGTTGCCCCTAATTCTACACATGAAAGCCTATTTAGGTAACACTGCAGTGAAGAGTTTCCTAGGTGTTACATACGAGACATCATTTATCTGTCAATGTCCAGCTTTTCATATGAAGCGACAGAATGCGGATAGCTGTCACACAAGTACAAAGTTTCTTGACATGATATGTTTTCATTCTCAGTAATTTAAAAAGAATTTTAAAAAATTATCTCCATATGCCAACTAACACATACACTTGTACCTTTGATTTGATTATATCATGTTTATGGAAGTCTTACATCTACTTACGTCTCCAAAGAGAAGTTTTATATGGTTTCAAATCATAAAAATGTTGTGTATCTTTGTATACTGGATGGTCTCCATCTGTGCTGCTGGTCTTAAAATGTGTTGGGTAATAGAGCACTAAAACACTCAACACATCTCTCACAGTCAAAGTCTGTGGACTTACGTACACACTTTAGTGTTTAGGATCAAACTGACCCTCACTTTGGCAGTGTTAATGGAAGCCATAATGTGTTGGTGCTTTCTGACTAAGCATGAAAATTTATATTTAAAAAAAAAAACGTTACACATTTACAATATGTGTATTTAAGTTTTCATTAAGACTTATTCAACAGTACAGATGGCAAGATGGTATGTATGAAAGTCTCTTGGGTGCAATATGCAAGTCCCAGCTGGAGTGTTTCCAACAGGATGTAAACCATGGTCCTCTAGCCTGCACTTTAAAAAACATATTACTTAGCACGCTGCCAACAAATGTCAACACAGAAATACACTGCTGTAATGACTTCAACTCCACAAAAAATACTTTTTTTAAACAGAATTTTCTGAAGCAAAAGACTTAAAAAAAAAAAAATGTAAAAAAACACTCAAAGGTAGAAAACATTTATTCTCCAAGCAAAAATAAAAACATTATGGGTATTAAAATGATAATATTAAAATAAATTTTGTACTGTACACATTTACAGCATAGCCTTGAGATCCAGAAGTCTATCCAGGACATGAACTAAGAGCCATTGCTTGAATTTTTCAACAATTCTGAAGTTTCTTCAATCCTAAAAATATTTAAAATGTTTAAAATATAGTAAAAACATTTATTTCGTACAATGATGTTAAAATAATGCCTTTAACTTTTCTTGTCTTTTTGCATTGGTCAGCCTACTAAATTTACTATTATTTGAGAATAAATGCATAGAAAAGGAAGAAACCCTCCCTCCCCTAAAATAAAATTAATGATGGAGGTAACTCACACATCCCTTATCACAAATCAGACTTAAAAAGCTGTCACCATCACAAGGCTTAGAGGGTTGCAATGGGATAGATAAAAAGATTAATAATTTTAGCTTTTTGAGGTAATTTGTACAATGTAAAACTCTGGTTGTACAAGTCATTATGACAATGCATCTTATTTTACTTTGACAAGTATAATTAAAATTCTTTCTATTCATCAATTTTCTTTACAAATCTAAAGACCAGCATCTAATTGTTCTGTGATATCTTCATAATCTAGGACTGCTTACTTCATTTAAAATTTCATCTCAAAATTCAGTAACAAAAAAGGTTGAACAGTTTTACCTAGTTCCAGTAACCTCTTGTCATACTATGGACAATACTTCTATTGGTCATCAACCAATATCTAAATGCTCTTTAATCCCAAATTAATACCATTAAGAACACTTTACGTTGCTTGTTAGAAACCAAAACAGTGACTCATCCCACAAATGCAGAACTGTAAGTGGATTTATTATCCAGTGGAGTCATAAGGAAATGCCACACCTGATGTAGAGGCCTTTGAGGTTTGGAACACATATGCACATTCTATATATGATTAGTCCAGTACAATTCCCTACTGGGAAATGAATTCCTGCTGCCCTTTTCTATTACTTACATTTTACTTATCCGTTCCATTCTTTGTCTTGTTGTCTCCTGCAATTTAAAAGCAACAAATTTAGTCAATTCTTCAAAGCCAACATTCTTCAGTGATGGACTTTTAACCTGGAAAATTCATGAAAAAAAACTACTTTAAGCACTGTTTACATATCAAAAGGATTTTTATGAGACAGACCTAGATGAAGTTTTGCATAGTTCTGCAGTGTTTTGCTAATAGTATATACAACTAAAACTAATGCTTACTTGTTCTCTTGACCCTAGAAAGGAAATCAACTAAGCATTTGCCAGTTTTACTTACCTTTGAAATCTCTGTCAGACTATGATAATTAATGGTCGTGGCTTTGGGAGATGGGTCTGTGGATAATTGTGAACTGTATCCAGACGACTGATGAAGACTCTCTGGCATCTCCTCCTTCCTTTCTATATCTAAGGAGAAATATTCATTTTTAGGTCACCTTTGCCTTTTTGCTCTTTTGTAGCAGGGTCAGCAATCGAACAGTTTGATTTACAGTATGTAATAACAGAAGAGAATGCATTGTTTAGAAAGAAAAATGCTACTGGTGAAGGTCCAAGATGGGTTTCTCATGCTTTTAAAAAAGCATGAACAGAACACACAACTATGATGCAGAAAGAGAGAAGAAAGTCCAATAAAGATTATAGAGGAATCATAATTACAGTCAATTCAAACACTTAAGCAAGTACAATAATTGACCAAAACATTACATAATAATTTCAGATAGTTCATCTTTGTTTTCTTATTATAAACCACTTGTCTCTTGTAGATGTAGGACCTTTTAAATTCTATTGCTTAAACTCAGCTTCCTTATACTAATGATCTTTGTTAACGTTTTTAAGATTGAAGCTTGCACAAACATGTTTGTAATGTGTTTTGGTTCAGATATGCAGTATAAACAGCAGAAATTTTAAAAATGACTACATTTCTTATTTTTAAGCTTAGGACTAGTATTAATTCACCAAAATAAATACAATTGGCATAGAGCCAAGCCAACACTAAGTGCTGCAAGGAATCCCATTCTTTATATAAGGAAATCTTTGGTGCTATATTAACTCTTTCTTTAATTAGAATAATTATCCTGAGTACCAAAGGAAAGCATGCCTTTCAATGTTAAAAAATAGCATAGCATTTTGTTGTCTTTATGTAGTCAATGGATCCTAGATTCAGAAAAGCATTATGATATGAATTATTTATTAAACAATTATTCAGTAGAAGAGCTCAAAGGAATCAGATGTCAGCTATTTTGTAGCATGTGATGAGTGAAATTTAACTTTGGACACACATTAAGGATAGTGTAGCAGAATGGCAGAAACAGTGGCTGGCAGAACCTTGTATACGTGACTAATCCCAAAAATATAGTTGTGTAATTCCAACTGTGGATGTCACAGCAAGCTTATAGTGCAGAAATTTTATTAGTTTTTAATGGTATATAACATTTGGTATATCTGTTCACTTGCTTGTCATGACAGTTAGAGTTGCATAGCTATTTAAAATATGTTAGTTATAAAGTATTAATATTGATTGTTGCCAAAAAAAATCATATTGATTGATAAAGAACATAAATTGTTAAGAATTAGATTCTAACATAAAGAAGATTATAAACTGCAGGCCCTACCAAATCATTCTAAGTAAAGCATATTCCCCCCAACACCAATACAAGTACAATATGGTTCTGACAGCATCTTGGAACTGCATAAGGCGTTTCAGAGCTAGGGACTCCGCAGAAACCCAAACGTTTCAAATATGGACACAATGTTAAAATATTCTCAGTCTGCAAACTACAATGCCAAACATCTAACCACTAAACACATGATTCAACCATAATTGTGGAAGAGTGGGATCATGGAGGAAACCTAAGGTCTGTAAAAAGGAAGTAGAGGTCTTGAGATGTTTGGCAAGTCCTTGGTGTCAGGGGTACCTTTCAAAAACAAAAACAAACAAACAAACAAACAAACAAACAAAAAGCCAACAGCAAGGAGTACGGTCTCAGCATCTATTATTCCTTCAATTACTACAGGAAAAGCAGTTCTTTCCCATTTCCCATTCTGATGCTCTCAATCCTAATAAAAGGAGAGAGGGAAGAGGTTCTTCAGCACTTTGTCTGGAGCAGGTAAAGAAGGACATATTGCCCATATTATTATTGATAGTGGTGGTAACGAGTGGTAAAACAGAAACACTTAAGATTAAAATGGAAATTTAAGATTCAAGCCTAACTACAGGGTGATTCCCACTGAGGAAGCAGGAAAAACATCTAGTCTCAAACTTTTTACAGACCTCCAGCTGTACCTATTGCAACACAGCCTAGCACAATAGGGCCCTTTTACAGTTCTTTTACAAACCACAAGTAAAATTTACTTTATTCTGACATTTAGGCAGTTCTGTATGTTCCATTTCTGGGCTACTTATTTTTTTTCCCCTAAGAAAATAAAAACTGATCCAATTGAGAGAGAGAGAGATTAAAGACAACAGATTCACAATAATGAACTGTTTTGCTGTTAAACTTAAAAATGCAGGTAGGAAGTTAGAGACAATAAATGAGACAGAATTGTAAGTGTGAACTTAAAATTAAAAGAGTGATTACAACAAAAAAGCTAAGGTGGGAAACCAATTAGAACCAAATGAGTGAGAAAGAAATGAGGAAACCTAACTTTCTAAAGTTCAAGATTATAGACAGTGCTCAAACATGGACATGACCAAGTAGTACATACAAGACCAGAAACAGAAAAAGGGCAGATGAGATAGGTGTATATCTGATAGAAGGATATGAGCAAGATAAATGTGTCACTGAATAAGGCTACAGAATTAAATACAGAAAGAAGTGGGAAGAAAAATGAATCAAAAACTGATTTCTAAGAAAAGACTCTAGTTTATAATTAGAATTAATTTGTCAGAGTAAGCTTGGCAACTAGGAAACTAAAGACGGATCAGATCTGGGGGAATAACAATTCATACTATTTGAGGAAAGAAAGGCAAGCAAAAGAGAAGAAAAGATAGATGCTTAGTGGTGTCACAGATGACTATAAATGAAGCGTCTTAGCATATTTTCTTGTATACAATACATCCCCAGAAACGACCTGTCCCTTGTAGGGAAGCTGGACTTAAGGAAATTTCTCCCCACCTCCCAGGCCCATGGCTGCATCCAAATCACTGCTGCTAAGGTGAAAGTTATGGTTTTAGCCCCTCTCTTACCCACTGCTGATTCTGTAGCAGATTTTTGCTGCTCAGGTGAAAGCTACTGCCAATTCAGCAGTAGCTCTGAACGAGTTAAAAATCAAAGCAGATGTTCCCCAGTTAGTTTCACAGTAAATATCTCAGTGCCTACACGTGCTTCTAGGCTGCAGGAAACTAATAAACTCCGCAGCAGGATAATAGTTGTAAATACAAGTATTGTTCTGCTGCAGAGTTTTTTACTCTGATGCAATAATGCATGTATAGACAGATGCTGAGGGGCTGGGGCATTAGCTTCGGTGCTGGGCTGCCTGCCAGCTAGCCCCACACAAGAGCCAGCCAGGCAATCCACAGCACATTGAGCCAGGCAGGAGCAACCCTGGACTGGTATGCTGACCCCCCCAGCATGCCCGAGAGCAGTAAACTAGTGCAATAAGCGCTGAAGTTTATTGCTTCACATTAATTGCGTGTGTAGATACCTAATGAGAAAGGAAAATATGCTAGTACTAAACCACCCAAACAGGCTATTTCCAAGGTTGGGTTAGCACCTGAAACTGAATCTCTTAAAACATCTTGAGAAGCTTTCAAATGTAGAGTGTCTATTTAAACAAAGTAAAATCTTAGAATACGATTTTATCTGAGGTTAGCAAAAGTTATATTAACAAAAAATTTAGTTAAAATATTATAAGTCTTACCAGGAGACACTGGAATCATATTCCTACTAGAGGTACGTTCTTCACCTATATTGTTCAATTCTGTAGATAAGTCACTCTGAAACAGTAGGAGATTTTGCCAGTTACAACAAAAAAAACTGTTAGCCATACATCTTACATAAATGCTGAGCATAATGAGAATGATAATCAAATATTGAATAAATGCATAGATATTTACTATACTGAACCCATATTACAAGTAGTTTTATGAAACTGCTTGTATGGAGTAAGAGCCCTAGCATTCATTTATTTGTGAAATGGGATCTGATCCCAGATCCCCAATATCATACATGCTGCCATGTCAAACATGCATGACACCTCACATGTTTTTTGGGACCCAGGATCACATCCTGTTGCACCTCCATTCAGGTGGAGGACCCCTGAAGTTTCCCAATCCTCAATCCAGGGCTCCCCTTGTGCCTGACCTTTACAGATCCACCAGACAGCCCAACATCAGAGACTGGCTCCCAGATGTCAGTGTGCACAGTGCACTTTCAAGGGGCAAGGGTTGACTGTGTTCCAGGCCTGGGACAGAGCTGCTCCCTGCCCCTTGAAAGTGTGCAGTATAGCCTATGCACTGAGTTAGAACTCTGAGGCTTTAAATGCAACACACTGCTTTAAATGTTGCAACATATGGGCTTACACTGCATACCTTTCAAGGGATAGGAGTGGCAGCCCCTGGTGGAGGACACAACTGCCTCCTGCCCCTTGAAAGGGGCGTCGTGTAGCACAACTCGAGGAGCAGATCCCCATCCTGCCCCCTCCTTCCCCACGTTCAAAGGGCAAGCATGCAGCTGGGCTGCTTACGGGTGCAAGGAGCACCTCCCTGATCTCAGTCTCCTGCACTGAATGTTTTCTGTGCATTCAAATTAAGCGTGATACTAACTAGCCACAAAGATGTTCTGTGCTTACTGGACCATTTTTGTGGCTCATTTGCCATTTTATTGCACCATAAATTGCTTGCAAGTAGGGAATGTTGCAATTTATAGAGTGGTTAATGCATTAAATGTGCCATATTCTGTTGAGGACCAAGAACATGTAAAATGTAACCTTTTGTAATGTTATACATATTTATATCACACATTAAGTAGATCAGCCTTTTTTTTAAACAGTAACTGTGCTGTAAAACAATACAGCAAAGTTTCAAAATTGAGTGCCTAGCAATTCAGATGTAATCATTTGATCAGGCTAGAAGTCATATTAAAAATAAACAAAAACAAGTGATGTTGCTCTCAATAGAAAGGATTAGTCCACAAGTGCCTCATTAAATACTAGGTCATGAATTAGGAGTCTATACTTTGGATTTGCATATATAACCTTCAGGTAACCAAATCTGAAAATTCTGGTCAAAGTATCTGGTTGAAAGTAATTGTTTTAAACACTGCAATATCAATTCTGCCTACAGTTGATCTCATTCTTTAAGAAAATGGTCATTCCTTTTGTTGGATTCCCAAAAAGCTTTTTAGGACGTTTTCTTATATAACAGGAGAAACATAGGAATATTTTTCCTTTCAGGAGGAGTGATTTATAGAATCATAGAAAATTAGTGTTGTAAGGGACCTCAGGAAGTCATTCAGTCCAACTCCTTGCTCAAAGCAGGGCCATCCAACTGTTTATCTAATTTAAGCACTGATCACACAAGCTAATCTACAGAGGCAGGCATTGAAGGGTTGTATCTCTCTGGATCAGTTTCTAGTCCCTTTGGGACTAGAACTGTTTGCATTTCAGGAAAGCCCGGTGTGACTTTATAATGCAAAGAGAACACATGTGCGCCTCTACAAAATCTACCATCCTGATATGAGGTAAAAGACATTAAACCAACTTTATTTCAGTTGGAAGTCAGAACACAGAAGTTAAAAAAATACCAGATTTATACTGTGGCAACCTTAAAATCTACCCACTTGTGCATCCATATTGTATACTGAACGAGGTAGGAATTCTTGGGGAAAAATGTTTTCACCCAATTCAATTAAAAACTGTGTCACTGCATTTACACTACAGAAAGAAACAGTTATAGTGTCACATTTTAACAGAATTTTTTTAATGTAATTTTCTAATTTAATGAAACAAAATATTAGGATGCACAGAAGTATAAACACCCCATCTTGAATCATTTTATTAATCTGAACATGAAGCTTGGCATAGACTACCATTGGAACTACAGGAGCTGACAGTAACAGAATGCTAGGAATGGGAGACAAGCTCCAGAGACCATCAGATATCAGTGCTCTTGAGTTAGAAGTTCAAGATGGCAGCTCTGCTCAGTCCCCACTCATCCCTTTTTTACTTTTGCTTTGGCAGCTTCAGAGCTTTCCAGTGTGGTATATATTATAGCAGCAGTAAAGACCCAATCATATAATGGTCATGTTATTTTGACATGTTGCCAATTTTTTCTGATGAATTAATGCAAAAAATGAAAAGCAGCAGCAAGTGTCAAAGATTTTTCTCTCCACCAAATTAATAGAATTTCATGGAACAAAGTTCTTTAAAAGTCAAGACATTTTTTTTCTTGGCAATTTCCAAAGGCCTGTTGTAATTAACAGAGTAGTGGCATTTTCTCAAAGGAAAATTCAAACAGATCACTCCTATACTGAAAAGCTAAAAAAAAAAAACAATGCCACACACAAACTGGATCCAAATATGTCTTTGTACACTTCCACTCTTACGATATCCAGGGTATAATATATCTGGTTAGATGTTTTTAAGAGGAACTAGTATTAAATATCTGAAGTGTCAACCAACTAAAATCCCTCAGACTAATCTTCAATAAAAATATAAATATACATTGTTATATGTATTTATAATTTTTTAAAACAGATATAGTGTTGTTAAAAGGTTCCAGACTAGAAATCATTTTGGACAGGTACAGCAAAGCTAGCCAAGGTACCAGCTTACCAGTACTTTCAATCTGCCTCAATTGTGACCAAATGGAACCATTTATGAAAGAGTGGACACTGCAGTCGGTATGATCCCAAACCTCTTGAAACCACTGTAATAGGGTTCATAGCTTCTTATGATGGTTGTAGGATTTGAAAAAAAAAAATAGTAGTAAATTCATTCATAAAAATGAGTAAACAGACATCAGTTGGTAACACTACTCAGTCATTCCCAATCTGAGATAAATTCAAACTATAAGCAAAAACTCCATATGTAATCTTTGAACAATTAGATCTTTTTTAAGCTATCATGGGAACAGATTGGATCAAACTTATTAAACTTCTATACTTATGCTCCATGGGGGGAAATAAAACTTTGGATGGAGAAAACAATTTAAGTGATGCAGAAAAAACATTTTATGTTTATAAAATCAAGGTTATTTCCAAGTTTCTACAATTGACAAAAATGGTCCGATACAGGAAAATATAGAATAAATAAAAAGTAGTCTTCATAAGCTTTCGCAACTTTCCATAACATTTCGATTCAACTTAAGTATTATAACAAAACTGCAACCTTATAGTAATACTCTGATAATGTTAGTGACCACAACATACTATATTTGTGAATATATATCATTCACAGATATAGTGTGCTGCAATCACTGGTATTATCTTGCAAGACTGAACATAATTGTATTTTATTGAATATAAAATATAAAAAAATAATATTACTAGTTTTATAAACACACACACACACACACTTCAAAATTTTACAAAACTGTTCTATAACTGTGTAAAGTAGTATTGATTTGCTGTGGCATGTTAAGTATATCTAAGATCATCAAGCTTGTGAATTTTCAGAAGGTTTAATGTTCTTCACTTTTTGTCAAGCACCAGAGAAATCCCATGCCCTTGGTCAGAAATTTATGAGAATACAATGAATCAAGCAGAGGATTTCAATGAGAAACTGCTCAAGGAAGCTGAAAAAAATGGAGCTAATCCATTAACTTGTTTACATGCCACTGAAATTCCTGCTGAAGTCTTGTTCTTCCTTTTCACATCCTTTCAAGAAGTTATGCCATTTCAGATCTTCAGGCACATTTTTCTACATTTAGAAGTATGGTGGGAAACCTAGATACGTTTGATAGAATGAAGGCCTAGACCAGGGGTGGGCAAAATGCGGCCCAGGGGCCAGATCTGGCCCACCAGGTGATTCTATCCAGCCCATGGGGCCCCTAAAAAATTTAGAAAATTAGTATTTATCTGCCCCTGGCTGCCTATCATGTGGCCCTCAATGGCTTGCCAAAACCCAGTAAGCAGCCCTCTGCCCAAAATAATTGCCCACCCCTGGCCTAGACAAAATGCTCTTGACAAAAATATTCTGTTTTTCAGTGATAAGAGCTTTCTTTGGGAAAGTAAATAAACAATATTTAACTTTACCATGAGTGTTACTTTAGCTGTCTCTTATAGATTACGACAGTCAAAGTAGGGCTGCACACCATAGCTGGATCCAGACATGAAGGCACATGTGGCACTCAATGCCTTTTTTTGCCTCAGTCTTCACAGGCAAGGCTGCTCCCACACTACTGCACCAACCAGCACCATTTTGGGGAGGAACTGAGCAGCCCTCAGGGGTGAAAGAATAGGTTAGTGAATATTTAGAAAAGCTGGACATATACAACTCCATAGTGCTGGACAGTACGCACTCAAGGGTGCTGAGGGAGTAGGCTGATGAGATTGCAGAGCCACTGGCCATCATCTTCGAAAATTCGTGGGGATCAGGAGAAGTCCCAGATAATTGGAATAGGCAAATATATTGCACATATTTAAGAAAGGGAAAAAGTAGGATCCAGGGAACTACAGACCAGTCAGCTGCAGCCCCGTCCCTGGAAAAATCATGGAGCAGAACCTCAAGGAATCTATTTCTAAGCACTTGGAAGAGAAAAGGTGATTAGGAACAGTCAGCATGGATTCACCAAGGGCAAGTCATGCCTTACCAACCTGACTGCCTTCTATGACAACGTGACAGGATCTGTGGGTGCAGAGAGACCAGCGGATGCGATATATCTTGATTTTAGCAAGGCTTTTGATATGGTCTCCCACAACATTCTTGCAGGCAAGCTAAGGAAGAATGGGTTAGATGAATGGACTGTAACGTGGACCGAAAACTGGCTGGAGCATCAGGCTCAGTGAGAGTACTAATCAATGGCTTGATGTCTAGTCGGCTGCCAGTATCAAGTGGAGTGCCCCAGGGGTCAGTCCTGGCATGGTTTTGTTTAATGTCTTCATCAATGAGCTGGAAAATGGCATAGAGTGCACCCTTAGCAAGTTTGCAGATGACACCAAGCGGGGGGGAGGGGGAGGGGTTAGGGCTAGGATTCAGTGTGACCTAGACAAATTGGGGGATTGGGCCAAAATGATGCTCATGAGATTCAACAAGGACAAGGGAAAAGTCCTGCACTAAGGATGGAATAATCCCATGCATCAGTACAGGCTGGGGGTTGACTGGCTGGGCAACAGCTTTGTAGAAAAGGACCTGGGGGTTACAGAGGGCAATAAGCTAAATATAAGCCAACAGTATGCCCTTGTTGCAAAGAAGGCTAACAGCATACTGGGCTGACTCTCTACCAGCAGGTCAAGGGAACTGATTATTCCCCTCTGCTCATAGATTTCATAGACATTAGGGCTGGAAGGGACCTCGGAAGATTGAGTCCAGCCCCCGCCTGAAGGGCAGGAAGTCAGCTGGATCATAGGATCCCAGCAAGATAAGCATCCAATTTACCCTTGAAGGTATTCAATGTAGGTGCTTGAACTACCTCCGATGGCAGGCTGTTCCAGACATTGGGGGCTTGGACAGTAAAGAAATTCTTCCTTATGTCCAGCCTGAAATGGTCTTGTAGTAGTTTATGACCGTTCAACCTCGTCATCCCTTGGGGCGCTCTGGTGAACAAACATTCCCCCGGATACTGGTGGTCACCCCCGATAAACTTATAAGTGGCCATCAGATCA